TTAAAATATATCCAAAAATCCACAAAATGCAGAAAATCGGCTACACCTCAATGTGCATCAATTTTTATAATTTTTTACCTTATAATACCAAATATTGGGAGGTGCCGTTATACGGGGTTATACCAAAAATCTGGACCAATTTATCCTGACAAACCTAGTACAAAACATTCCAGTGCAAAATTCCAATGCTCCATATTAAATATTACGAGCTCTACAGTAAATTAAACAAACGATCAGACGAGATATGACGATCGGTATACCAAAATGTGGGTCTAGTAGCAATATTGTATGACGTTACAATCTCTTGGGGACCCACAAACCATCCCACTTTCTTACCGGCATTTGAGGCCAGTAGAATTTCAAATCTCATATTTGAAATAGTTTTTCTTTTTTAATTTTGAATTTGTTTAGATATAAAAATTGTGGCCCTGCCTTTTTTCCCCGTTTCCTAACCTCGAACAATAATTAATCCATATTTATTGATCCATTATCAACACACCGTTATTTGACACTGAATTATGCATTTCCAAAATTAATAATCGGATACACACGGCGTTCGACTGAACCACTAAACTAATTGATTTAAATATTTTATTAACCCACTAACCCAAAGAAAATATTCGAAAAAATAAAAAAAAAACAGGAAATGCAATTTCATGCAGCTCGGGCACATGGCAGCCGCACAGTACGTACAAGAGATTCAAACAGCCAACCAACCAACAGACACCCAGTACGACAATCTAGCATCTATGCAAATGAATGTAAAATTTCGTAAAAAGAAAAAAAAACTTGACGAACAAGTAACGAAACAAAATTTCGTAAAATTGCCAAATATTTGTAAGTGCTTAACGTTCAATGATGTTTGAAAATAATCGCTATGGCCAAAAAGGCAGACAGTCAGCCAGCCATCCATCCAGCCAGCCAGCATAACGATCATGCATGCGTCTTGAGTCAATACACCACATTACTTAAACACTTCAAGAAGCCAAACTATAAAATTGTATTTGAATTTCAATATTTTCCCGACAGTAGTAATGGCAAACAAAGTCATAATAATGATTATTTTTATTTAATTTTTAAATTTCCAAGTGTTTTTTTTTTTTTTTTTTTTGAATTTAAGTTTTTCACATTTTTTTTCTCAAACATACCTTAGCTATGAAATTGTTGTTAAATACTAATTTATTAGCACCAAAAAGAATTAGTTTCAATATGTTTCTTCTGATTTAATCGATTTTAGATTTTTGTCACAACGTTTATTTTTCTTTTCACTCACACAAACACGTAAGTTTTGAATTTTCAAATAAATTGCTTTGTTGTTGATTTTTTTTTTTCAAAGTTTTAAATTCATCTTTTGTTTACTTCTTGTCGGTTGGGCTTGTCTATTTTTTTTTAAGTTTGTTACACCGAACCTTACTGGTCGGTAGTCAGATGCTGAATGATCTAAAGCGGCAAATGACACGTCTAATGTAGACTTGTTGTCTTGACTTGTCTGTTGGTCTCTCGGCCAACCGGGTAATGGGCCCAAATGTTTTATTTCTTTTTTAGTTGTTTTTTAAGGCGCATTTGAAGTTTTAATTTGAAATTGTTTTGAGTTGTGAATTAGACAGACGTAAACGTATACTATTTACACAAGTCAACAAAAAACTTGTTGGAATTTTTTTGAGTTTCTTAATATATATTTGTTTAAATCTTAACTTCCAAATAACACAAGCCAGATTTTTTTTAAATATTTTTGGAACTGACTGAAATTAAATACACCATGTATTATATTTATTTTTTTAGAAGCATTGAATTTTTAAACAAATTATTTCAAACGTGGGGCTTTAAATTGATTTTTTATAAGCGTGGATTTTTTTAAAAATACTTTTTGCAAGCGTGGATTTTTTTAAATAATTTTTGCAAGCGTGGATTTTTTTAAATAATTTTTTAACAAACGTGATTTTTTTTTTAAATAATTTTATAACAAGCGTGGATTTTTTTAAATCATTTTTTAACAAGGGTGGATTTTTTAAATAATTTTTGAAAGCGTGGATTTTTTTAAATAATTTTTTAACAAGCGCGGATTTTTTAAATAAATTTTTAATAAGCGTGGATTTTTTTTAAATCAGTTTTTAACAAGCGTGGATTTAAAAAAAAAAAAAATTTAACAAGCGTGGATTTTTTAAATAATTTTTTCACAAGCGTGGATTTTTTAAATAATTTTTTTAACAAGCGTGGATTTTTAAATAATTTTTTATCAAGCGTGGATTTTTTAAATCATTTTTTCATGGGCGTGAATTTTTTAAAAACAGTTTTTCATGAGCGTGGATTTTTATAAAATATTTTTTTACAAGCGTGGATTTTTTTAAATTATTTTTTTACAAGCGTGGATTTTTTAAAATTATTTTTTACAAGCGTGGAATTTTTAAAATTATTTTTTTACAAGCATGGAATTTTTAACATTATTTTTTTACAAGCGTGGAATTTTTAAAATTATTTTTTTTACAAGCGTGGATTTTTTAAAATTATTTTTTAAGCGTGTATTTTTTAAAATTATTTTTTTTACAAGCGTGGATTTTTTAAATTTATTTTTTTACAAGCGTGGATTTTTTAAAATTATTTTTAAGGGGTCCTTCCATAGGTCCTTTCGTGGTCCTTACATACGCGTGGATTTTTTAAAATTATTTTTTAACAAGCGTGGATTTTTTTAAATCAGTTTTTAACAAGCGTGGATTTTTTAAATCAGTTTTTAACAAGCGTGGATTTTTACACTTTTTTATGAGCATGAATTTTTTAAAAACATTTTTTTATGAGCATGAATTTTAAAAAAAAAAAATTTATGAGCATGGATTTTTATAAAATATTTTTTACAAGCGTGGATTTTTTTAAGAAAATGGATTATTTAAAAAATTATGGATTTGAAAAAAAATCACAAGCGTGGATTTTTTAAAATTATTTTTTTACAAGCGTTGATTTTTTAAAATTATTTTTAAGAATCATAAATATTTTTATATCACATCGTCGATTTAAAAAAATCACAAGCGTGGATTTTTTTAAGAAAATGGATTATTTAAAAAATTATGGATTTGAAAAAAAAAATCACAAGCTTGGTTTACAAAAAATTACAATGGTGGATCTAAATCTGAACCGATTTTCTCGAAACTCGAGACACACCATTCTAGACTCAAATTCAGTACGCTATGCCAAATTTCGTGCAAATTGAAAGAGACTGGTGCACCATTTACATTAAATCGGACGAAAACATATATGGGCGCCATATCTAAATCTGAACCGATTTTTACGAAATTTAACACACATCATTCAAGACCTAATTCAGTACACTATGCCAATTTTCGTGCAAATCGAAAGATAAATAGGGACTTTGGTGCACCATTTATAATAAATCGGACGAAAATATATATGGACGCTATATCTAAATCTGAACCGATTTTTACGAAACTTAACACACATTATTCCAGACTTAATTTAGTACGCTATGCCAAAATTCATGCAAATATATAGATAAATGGGACTTTGTTGCATCATTTACCTTAAATCGGACGAAAATATATATGGTAGCTATATCCAAATCGCAACCGATTCTCACGAAACTTGACACACATCATTCTAGACCTAATTCATTACGCTAAGCCAAATTTCGTGCAAATGGAAAGATATATAGGGACTTTTGTACAAAATTTACCTTAAATCGGACGAAAATATATATGGTAGGTATATCTAAATCTGAATCGATTTTCTCGAGACTTAAGACACCATTCTAGACTCATTTTAGTACGACTGGTGCACCATTTACCTTATATTGTACGAAAATATATATGGGAGTTATATCTAAATCTGAACCGATTTTTACGAAACTTTGCACACATCAGTCTAGGCTAAATTCAGTACGCTGTGCTAAATTTCAAGCAAATTGGAAGATTTATAGGGACTTTGGTGCTCCTTTAACCTTAAATCGGACGAAAATATATATGGGAGCTATATCCAAATCTGAACCGATTTTTTCCAATTTCAATAGGGTTCGTCCTTGGGCCAAATAAATGAGCGGCACCAAATTTCATCCAAATCGGATTATAAATGCGACCAGTACTTTGTTTACAATTTAACATCAACAGACGGACGGACGGACATGCATAAATCGACTTAGAAAGTGATTCTATCTCGTTTCCTTTTTCCTGTTACAAACATACGCACAAAGACATAATATCCTGTACCACAGTATGGTGAAGGGTATAAATATAAGCTTGATGAAATGATTTAAAAAATTGAAAAAAACCCACACCATAAATGTAATATTTAAATTTTTTGTAAATTTAAAATAATCATACCTGGCAATAACATCATATCTATGGAAATTTTAAATACAAATTTATTGCATACTTCTAGGAGCATATTTATTTTGTGCATCATGAACAACAACATTGTTACAAACATGATTTAATAACATGAGGTAGGTAGGTTTCCAATTTTTACTTCTTGTGCCTGTGTTCTGTCAAAACAACTCAATTTGTATGTGTGTATGTAAAGCCTTTTATTGCAACCCCCATACTTGACATTCATTTTTCGCGATATTTTCTTTATAAAATTTAAAAATAAAAATCTAAAAATGTGTAAAAAACAAAAGAAACGGTTGAATTTGTTTATATGTAGATATGCAATTAATAATATATTACACTAGACAACACTTTGTATTAATTTCGTAAAGTAATTGTACCCGTATTATTGTACCATGGTCACAAATGCATATACCTATTCCAAATAAATCCTAGAGATAGATATACCCGTACAACATTTATTATTTTTAACATTTATTATTTATTTAATATAATTATGAATATTTATTTTAGGATATTTGCTTGCAATATCTGTAATCAAATCATTTGGATTTTACTCATAGTAGGGGATGCATGCTTAAAATTACGTTTTGCCTTCTTAAAGGCAGTTTACAAATAGCATAAATAAAAATAATTAAAAAATATATATAAATAAATTGAAATTTGTATTTATTCCTGAAGCATTTGTATTAATTCATGAGCGTCGTCATGGTCAGGATTTGCCGGTTCATCGTCAGCCTCAGCGTCATCCTGAAAGTGTTTTTTAATATATTATTTACATTATTAGAAACTAAAAATTGAGTACAAATACTTACATCAAACCCAAAACAATCTTCTGTAATGGCCTTTAAGGCGGACGTATTTGATTTGACTGTAAATAAAAAATGAATTATTAAAAGGAATTGTTATACAATTAGGGGCAATACACGTACTTGTCCTTGTTTCGGTAATCTTTGGTAGCTTTTGTGGAGAGTTTTGTAAAAACTCTTCTTGCTCCACTTCACCATCTGCTTCCTCACCATCCTGCATTACCTCAATTATCATATAATCCTCATCTTCGTTTGTCGCCGGCATAGAATCCGCTGAATTCTTTTCCATTTTTACATTAAATTCAGATGGAAGATGAATGGTTTTGGTGGCAATAATTTGATTTGATTCGTATTTTTCTGTCTTAATTTCAACGGATGGTTTTTCATCGACCTCCTCATAATATTCTAGCTCCTGATAATCTTCATCATATTCTTCTTCCAACTCCTCCTCTTCCTCCTCGGGTTCGGGTTCATAATCTTCATAAATGTATTGGATTTGTTCACCATTCTCATCTTCATAAATGACATTCTCTTCGTTGTCTTGCAGTATGGCTTCGTTGGCGGCATTCACCACCTCCTCCTCGTTGTAAATGAAGGAGCTTTTGATTTGCGTAACAACTGTGCCATCTGGCTGGACACGTCTTAATCGGCCCAATTTCAAACGTAGCTTTTCTTCATTTATTTTCGAATTGGGATCATGAGTTTCCATATGCCGCATAAGATTTCCCTTAAAGGCAAACGCACGTTGACAATGCGGACAGACATGGGACTTCTTCAGTGGCTTTGGAGGTTCATAATTGGCCGTATGATAGACTTTCATATGACGACTGAGTAACTGCTTCTGACGGAAACATTGCTGACACAATTCACAGACAAAGGGTTTCGAATCGGTGTGTATAAGCATGTGGGTGTCCAGATGACGTTGTGATATCGAGGCAAATGGACAATATGTACAGCTGTTGGGAAGACAAGAAAAAAATTAAATTAATGTGATTTGATGATATTTTGGAAATTTAATTTGAAATATTAAAAAAGGAAAAATGTCTTGGATATTTAAAAAAATATTTTCGAGCAAAGGACAAGGAGGGAATTTAAATTTTTAAGATTTTTTCAAAGAATAATTTTCGAGGATATTTCAAAGCAAAAGGCGTTAATTTTTAAAGAATATTTTTCGAGGATAATTCAGAGTAAAAGGCGTTAATTTTTTATGATTTTTATCCAAGATATTTTAGATAAAAAGGCGTGGATTTTTTACGATTTTTTCCAGGATATTTTCAAGCAAAAGGCATGGATTTTTATCCAGGATATTTTCGGTTTTTACGAATTTTTTCATGTATATTTCCGAACAAAATGCATGGATTTTTTTACGAATTGTTGTCAAATATCGGAGCAAAAGACATGCATTTTTAATAAATATATTCGAAGCGTGTTTCGGAACAACAGTCTTGAAGTTTTTAAGAATTATTTTAAAGGATATTACAGTGCAAAAACTATATGCGTGGATTTTTATCGCATATTTCATTTCGACTTACCGAAAACATTTCTCCCCCTCGTGTGTCTTAACATGCATCTTATATTGATAACGATCCGGCAGCTCCTTACCACAACGTTTACACGGTATTGGTGTATCTGAATTATGTAATTTTTGTATATGCAAACGTAAATCGGTTTTACGGCCACATGTGGTGGGACATAGGTTACACTGGAATACCGGTTTATCATTAACCGAATGGATCAAACGATGATATTTCAATGAATTTGATTGTGTAAATCGGGCATGACAGATATCACATTCATATGGCTTTTCACCCGTATGCGTACGCATATGACGTTTCAATTTAAATGTATCCGGAGATGCATAGGTGCAGTGGGGACATTGATATGGTCTTTCACCAGTATGACAACGTATGTGACGACGCAATTTACTCAACTCTACACTGCTGTAGTCACATTCCGTACATTTGTGTGGCTTTACTCCGGTATGGCGATAACGTCTGTGCCTTGTCAATTCACCCGATGTGGTGAAGGTCATATCACAATCACCACATTTATGAGGTTTATTTCCCAAATGAGTATTAATGTGATTCATAAGGGAGGTGTGGGTTTTGAAACCTCTTTCACACACCGAACATTTATAGGGTCTATCATCGGAATGTGTTTTAAAATGTCGTGTCAAAAGGAATTTCTTATTTGTGCTATAATCACAAATTTGACATTTAAATTGACCCTCAGCGTCTGCTGTTACATTCAGAGGTTTGAGTATGACTTCGTTTTTGACAACACCTTCCTCTTTACTCTCATCGATGGTATCATCGACACCATCAACAGTTCTTTCCGTTTCATCGAAATCATAAACCTCTTCAGTGGGTTCAGCTTCTGAGGCTATGGTTTGATCTATGGCCGTGGATGTTGTTGTATTGGCATCAGTGGTGATTGTAGTTTCGCTTTTCAGTGTATCATCAGGTTCAGTTTTGATGTTGGTTTTAGCTGCTCTACCACGGGTAGCACGTTTTTGTGTTGTATTTGCGGTTGATTTTTCCAATTTTACATTGGTGACTTGTTTTTTACTTGGAGAAGGTTTTTCAGGACTCTTTGCTTTCTCAGTGCTCGTTTCTTTGGGTTTGCTTTGCGCATCAAAATATTTCAATATTGAATTATTGCCACCACCACCTGTGGCTTTGTTAGTTGTTCTAGCACTAGTTCTTGTTGCTTTCGTTGGACTAGACGACGGTTTGGTATTGCTCTTACTGGTGTTAAGTTTTTCCTTTTTAGCTGGTCGTGGCGGTGAAGTAGCTGGAAGTATAAAAAAGAGAAATGTTATGTTTATTTAAAGTTTTTTTATATTCTCTAACATGGAATAGATTATTTTGAGATGTTTACAATAAGATTAAATTTATTTAATAACATTTTCTGGATTTTTTAAAAAAACATACATTTCAGAACAATAAGCGTAGTTTTTTTAAGGGACATTTTTAGGGTCTTTCACAGCAAGAAGCGTAGATATTGTATAGGGTCTTGCAGAACAAAAAATCGTAGATTTTTGAAAGAATTGTTTAGGCGGTATTTCAGACGAAGAATCGTAGATTTTTTAAAGTCTTCTTTTAGGGGGTATTCAAGAACAAAAAATCGTAGATTTTTGAAAAAAAAAATTAGGGGGTATTTCAGACCAAGAAGCGTAGATTTTTTAAAGACTTCTTTTAGGGTTTTTTCAGGCCAAGAAGCGTAGATTTTTAAGGACTTTTTAGGAGATATTTAATACCAAGAAGCGTAGATTTTTAAGGACTTTTTAGAAGGTATTTAATACCGAGAAGCCTAGATATTTTATAGGGTCTTTCAGAGCAAGAAGCCTAGATTTTCTTAGAGGAATTTAATACCAGAAAGCGTAGGCATATTTAGGGTCTTTCAGAGCAAGAAGCCTAGATTTTTTAGAGGGAATTTAATACCAGAAAGCGTAGGCATATTTAGGGTCTTTCAAAGCAAGAAGCGTAGATTTTTTAAATGTTTAAAGAGGGTATTTAATATTAAGAAGCTTAGGTACATTATAGGGTCTTTCGGAGTAAAAAGAGTATATTTTTTAAAGAATATTTTATAGGGTCTTTCCGGACAAAATGTATATATTTTTTAAAGTATATGTTATAGGGTCATTCAGAGCAAGAAGAATATTTTATAGGGTCTTTCTTTTTAAAGAATATTTTATAGGAGATTGTATAGGGTCTTCCAGGGCAAAAAGCGTAGATAATAAACTATATTTTAATAGGTTCTTTCCAAGCATTGCAAGTACACAGTATTGGTCAATAGCTTGGTTGACTTCTTCGGGGTTAATGTAATTTCTCTTGTAGTCTTGGACTTCTTCCACCGTCTAATAAATATCTCTCCTGAACGGTGTTGCCGTTTAGGTCACTAAGGATCAAATTTGGTCCGAAAATGGAAGTGGAGATGATTGGACACACGCCCTGAACGGTGTTGCCGTTTAGGTCATTAAGAACCAAATAAATTCATATTGTTGTCGTCAAAATCCCATAGCCAATTAGGATCAACATTTCTCAAAATAATTCATGATCGGCCGATGAACTAGATTTATATCTTCCTGTGATTACAGGCCAGGCCTTATATGTCATTTGACCTGACATACACTCACTATTATGATTTCTTAATGAACACTCGTCGTTTCAATAATCAACTTACATTGCTTTCGCTTTCCCAACACGGCAGCCACTGTTTTTACAATTGATTTATCCTTCTTCACCGGTTTTACTTGTACTGCCTTTTTACCACTTTGATAATAGTAATTGCCTTCTTCATCCATAAATATGGTACCATCTTCTAGTTCGGCATCATCCAATGCATCGTCTTCATCCTCGGCGTTATCATTGGATTCGGCTGTAATATTCAATATTTGTATTACAACGATACCAGTCAATTTAAGAAACAATATTTACCTTTTTCCGGCGCATCTTCCTCCTCTTCGTTGACGACCTCCGAATAAATGGTTGTGGCAATATCTTCTTCGATATGTTTTTCCAGTTCATCCAAATAGGATTCCAAATCTGAATTATCGGCCATTGTCTGAAAATAGAGAATACGTAATTAGCGGTGAAGTTTGAATTTAAATTTGAATCTATGGTTTGGTAATTTGTCCCCACCAATTACACTTTGGCCCCAGATGTCGTAGTTGGGTATATCTACAAATAATAGATTTCGCCCCCTGTCATGTATATGGCACTATCGTATCTAATAAAACAAATTGCACAGTTTATATAGGTGGGACACGTAGTGATATTCCCATTAACTTGCAAATAGTGATATGCATATGGTGAATATGATAAAACTCGTGAAGATGCTTCCAATATCCCGAACTGATGCTTGGTTGGCGCCTTAATTTCCTCTCCAATTTTATTTTTTTATGTATTATGCGACACCATGCGGCGGCCAGTACTTACTTGATGGTACAGCAAACACACACTTCACCAGAATGACGATGGTGTCGCTTTTTGTTATTGATTTTCTTTTTGCCAATTTTACACTTCCCCTGGTGAGAACTACGGGCATTTATTTGAAATAGTACTGTGGACAAAAGCTTTAGTGTATTTCGTATTACTTTTTAATTGCTTTTTATATAATTTGGAATTAATTAATTGCAAAAATATATATTTTCTTCAATTTTTTCTTCTATCTTATTTTCGATGTCTCGTTAAAGCGCCGTGAGAGAGAAATGAGAGTGAAGTTGGTCGTGATGCCCTCTTTACACAACCGACTAAAATTAAAATCGTTCCACGAATAGAGAGAGAGACAAACGAGAATGACTGATAAAAACGAACTTGAAACAAAATGACCAAAAATCCTTTACTGTTTACGAATAAGTGTGAAGTATAAAAGATTATAGAGGAAATGGATGAGGCCGAAATCAGCTGATATTTTGAACTGTGTAAGATGAACCACCGGTACCATTTAGTGCATTTAGCTTATATTCTTGAATGGTTTTTCATTTACATCTTATACCATTCGATATACCCTGTTGATATTTAATAAATTATGGAATCAATCCTTACAAAAAGTAAATAGCTTTAAAGGATATAAACACCTTTCCTTAGCATAAATAAGTGGCTGTGTTATGTGACCTATCAAAATGAAATGCGTTCCACCACAGATGTGTAAAAACGGCCTGTAAATGGTATGTAACAGCTGCGTTCCCATTATTGTACTATTGTTAATTAAAAACGTTTCCCTACTCTGACATTTAGCAAAATGGTCCATTTAGAGCAGCTGATGTCTTCATTAACTGTCAAACTTCGTAATTTCTACTTGAATTCAATGTGCAATGTTGCCAACCATGTGAAATATTATATGGACAATTTTGACAGATAATCGAGACAAAAACAAATGATTTTGTTTTGATACATCACCTTATTATTGCATCATGGTCCAAACAATAATATGGATCCTCGGGGAAATTTTATAATACCTTAGAATGTATGGACTTTTTCTGATAAAAATATTATATTTTTGTAATCAGAGCTTCAAACGCTTAAAATTGATACGGCCTCTGCCCTGATTGAATGTCACAAAGGGACATTAATAGGACCATCCTTCCTAGATGGCTGCTGACAGCAAACTTGAGAAACAGCTGATCTTACTACGTGACCTAATTAATAGGCAAGTTACCCAAGATGCAAAAAACCGCGGGGGTTTTCAAGTATAATGTTAAAATTGTTGACATTATTTTCATTTCGCTAATTCGCAATAATCGATTCTGAGTCATCCAGGAAGGCCAGCTGGATATCAGATGCCTCTTATGTATGCTGTCAAAATCCATCATTTTGAATTTACTCCCATTACGAAAACCTAAATAAAATCAAATTGTGGACATAAGACTTGAGAAAAAAACAGCTGACTTTCGCTTGCTGGAGAACTTATGAATAAATCTTGGTACCTCGATTAACAAATCGATTCGATTTATAAGACATAGTCTAAACGCGCTTTAACAATTATCAGCTGATTATAATTTGAGATTTATTAGTATTGCCCATGGCACAATGAATAGAAAGTCCATTTATCGCAGCTGATGTCTTGATTAACTGTCAAAGTGGGTAATTTCTACATGAATTCGATGTGCAGTATTGCCAACCATTTGAAATATTATATGGAAAAATTTGACAGGTAATCGAGACAAAAACAAAGGTTTTTGTTTTGATACATCACCTTATTATTGCATCATGCTATTGCCAAAGAAAAAACGGCATGCATTGTAAAATGTAAATATTTTTGTAAAATTTTTAATTCATTGCTTATGAGTATTTACTATCAAACTTCTTAAGTTTATTTTTAATATAAAATTTACATTTTCGAAATAAAAGATTTATTAATTGATTGCATTGAGGCATTTTCCTCCCTCGCATTATCGAAATGACCATGTAACTCAAAAATTTTAACAATAAATACTGTCGTATAAATGGCAATACACAATAATATTAAATAGACAAAGAATTTCAAACATTGCAATTGTCGATGTTCATCTTCGTTATAATAGAAATCTTCTGTGGGATATTTGTTGTAAGTATCATTAAAATATGCCAATTCGTTGGGTTCTATCAGAACACTTTGAAGATCATCATCAAATTTTTCAAAATCACTTTGATTTATAAGCGTCCTCTGATGTTCATTTCGAAGATGTGGTGGTGGTGACTCACAATCATTTGAAATAGATTCTTGATATCGACATTCGTAAGTGGTTGGATCATTATGATTTAGCACAGATTCTTGATATTGCGATGCAAAATTGCCGTCAAGATTATCACACACAACTGTTTCCTGATAATTATATTCAATATCTGCTGCAGTATTATTACTTATAACTGATTCTCGACAACCTGATTGGCGATATGGCAAAATATAATCCAAATAGTTAAATTGTTCGGGGTTTTCAAAAATCGTTGCATTATCCGCCGTATCGTCACGACATTCGATTTCAGTTAGCTCTATTACCGTCGCATCTATCATTATCTAAGAAAAACTTTATTTTTTAATTGAAATTTTTTGTGTTTGTAATAAATACTGGGATTTACCGTAGATTCCGTAGAGTATGATTTATCATTGAAGTGCTTGCACTGATCTCTTAATAATGACTATATTGTCATGTAAAAAACAGCTGCCACGAATGTCTATAGATTTTTTTGTTATAAATAAAGTAAAACCTCAATTGTGGTTTTGATTACTCGACATAGGATTTAGTTGACGAAAACTATTTTGTTTAATGACCTGACGTTTTAGATATTGTATAATACGTTTACACTAGGCGTGTTTTAATAAAAAAACATTAGAAACATAATTATAAAACGACATTTACATTATAACTCTTTAATCTAATCTATGAGGATTTATTTGACATGTACACAATGGAATTGACAATTGAACCCACTGGGTTAAAGAAATCCGTTATAATGTAAACGTACTATTATATCCAATTTGTAGGATATAATTTGTGTCTTCCCGTACAGAAAATGTACTCGGTTCAAATTTATAAAGAGAATATGAATCACAATTTCGATTAATAATAATTTTGTAGATTTTGAAACAGGGTAAATAACACAATGAGAGAAATTTATTAAAAAATTGAAGTGGTTCTTAAAATTGAAAAAAGCTATATTCCAGTAGGTTCATTTCCTAATAAAGAAGAAAGTATGCCGTCAATTTTATGCAAATTTCTATCTCTAGGATATGTCCTACGCCAATCGCCTAGGGTCGATTCAATATCCCAAAGACTGAATCAAGATCTATTAATAAGGTCACCCAGCTAGCGAAAGTCAGCTGTTTTTTCTCAAGTTTATTGACAAAAATTGGGATTTTGTTTACGTTTTCATTATGGAAGTCAATTCACAATAATGGATTTTGATAGTAAACTTGAGAGGCAGCTGATATTCAGCTGGCGTCCTACAATCAAAATTTTTGACATTAGACTTGAGCAAGGCCTATAAATAAGGTCATCCAGGGGGACCAGCTGGACATCAGCTGCCACTCAAGTTTGCTGTCAAAATCCATTATTGTGAATTGACTTCCATTATGAAAACATAAACAAATAACAAACTTTTGACATTAGAATTGAGAATTAACAGCTGACTTTCGCTAGTTGGTGACCTCATGACCTATAAATAAGGTCACCCAGGGAGACCAGCTGGATATCTGCGCCACTCAAGTTTGCTGTCAAAATGCATTATTGTGAATTGACTCCCATTATGAAAACGTAAACAAAGTCGACATTTTCGTCATTAGACTTGAGAAAAAACAGCTGTTTTCCAATTTCGATTGCTACCATGGTGACCTTATTAATAGATCTTGGACTTGAGACTTTCGATAGCTTAGTGGCATTAACAAAAGATCTTGGGCCGATTCATGATGCAATAATAAGGTGATGTATCAAAACAAAAACCTTTGTTTTTGTCTCGATTATCTGTCAAAATTTTCCATATAATATTTCACATGGTTGGCAACACTGCACATCGAATTCAAGTAGAAATTAACCCTTTCAGTGTTTTTGTCGAATATATTCGACATTTAAAATTACTCTCTTTCATTGCGATTTTTCGGTTATCCTATGTACCGTTACTATTGATGTTTTTGTTTTTGCTGAAAAACAGACGAAACTGGCCGAGGGTTAAAATGACAATTGCTATTTTTTCTAAACTATGTCCCTTTATATGATTTTAAATACAAAATTTTAGATTTTTATTCCGACAAAATTTTTCTTTGACACTGAAAGGGTTAAACACTTTGACAGTTAATCTAGACATCAGCTGCGCTAAATGGACTACCTATTCATTGTGCCATGGGCCGATTAAAGAGAAGTTCGTCATAAAGATGGCTAAGAAGTGTTGTGGGTGCGATTACGATTATATATATATATATATTATATTTATTGTGTTTAATTTATTTAATATAATCATAAAAAATGTATTTCATATTTTTTCTTATTGTCACAATAATAAACAATTGCCAATTCTTCACAATTCGTAAACAAAAGATCAATGTACGTTTGTATATTCGTCCTTTTGACCAAAAAAAAAAAACTA